TTTTCTCAGAACCAAAATTTCTTGGATGCGTAGTTTACCAAATTATCTTACCCATGGTGCTCCGCTGTAAGAATTTTAAACTGAAGCCGATGAATTGTTCTTTTTTTAAATACTTGGAAAATAAGCCGGCGTACGCAGACACCACATACGTACAAAAAACATGACAAGTAAGGGTTTAAAGACAGTCTACTAATGATTTGAAGAGATGACAAATATGGAATGAGATGTGAGTAATGGCTCAAAGTTAAGGCTCCACCCTCATAGGTTCAGTTTAGAATGTCATACATGTAAGGCGTCTGTTGTGTACCATTATTGTTCGAAAAACCGCTGGTCAAAAATACTTTTTTTCAAATCCTTTCCCAAAAAAACTCTCAGATTATGAATCTCAAAAATCCGGATTTGGATTTGATCTAAAGAATCCACCCTGAGTGTGGATTTTATGGATTCATAATCCGTTTTTGGTTTTGCCCCAAAAAACGCAAAATCCGTTTATGGATTCGAAAATCCGGATTTCGATTTTCCCAATAAAACGCACCCTGAGACATGGCAAGACACCGAGTTTTTAAAAAAAGCAAAACAAAAAATTGCGTGTGCCTATTCAAGCACGATAAAACTTGGGATCGAAGCTAAAAGTTCAAACGACCACGTTCAACAACAACAACAACTGAGAGATAGATCCCTGAAGGAAAAACAGAGATATTTGTCGCCTGAAATGTGATCAAAACTAATTCTGACAGTTTTTAATACATTCATGTTTTGCTTGGCTTTTTCGCGACCGGTATTAAAAATTAAGTGATCTCGTGAGTGAAAGAAATGAGCGGTCATGTTTTATATTATATGCCGGCATTAAATTAACATAATTACGATTCTTATTCGAAACGGAACCTTTGTACGCGTTTCAAACTTTTGCCCATATTAAGCTTGATCCTTAAAAAAAAAAAAAACTAGATAAATGAAAGGTTGTGGTGAATTTGATATTTACCTCAAATACATGTAAATATAGTTAGTCGTTTTTATTCTCAAGTTTAGAATGACAGTCTAACAGGTAGTTTTATTTTCACCCTCCAGGTAGCACGCATCCTGCCAAAGGTTTTTATCGCCAAACAATCTCGCCAAATTGAACATGAGAAATTGGGGCTACCCGCCAAATCGTGAAAGGCGTACGAAAAATAAGAACAGTTTGTACCTTCATAGTGTAAAATTTTGCATCATCGACATTCACGGACAAAATAACAGTAAGCTGCTCAGCTGTTATATATCATCAATATTTTAATTACTTAGACGTCGAGGAAATATTTATACAAAAAAGAGGAAAAATATGAACCAGGTTGTCATATTGTGCGTCTGCTTGACTCTTGCATTAAAGCCGTATTACTAAAGTTCAATCATGAGATCCAAGCATATACGAGGTTAATCAGTTAACCTTGGGGTTCTGACGGAATATTCATTTTTCGTCTTTTATGGTGGCTAACTCATCACTGATCAGGTTTGAAATATTTTCTAACTGAGGGTCTTAAAGCTGCAGGGCATTTTCATCACGCAATATTTACAAACGTTGCCATGACAATGATAGTGATGTAATGAGCAATTGACTAACTCTTAAAAACCAACTACAGAAGCATCAGTTGTCACTTCGTAACCAAAAGAGCAGGTGACTAAGTGCGGATATTTCTCAACACTGACTCCATTTACCTAGAGAGCACTCCCTTTTCAAAGTGGAGAGGACAATCCATTAAGTTTTCTATATTTTTAAGTGGCAAAAGTATCGCTCAAAGAATGGCAAGGATTTATTTGCTTGCGGAATTGATCCTCGTACAAGCAATTTTTTTACTTGGTAAGTCCGATATCGGTCCTGGTCCTTTCTGTTTTACCTTCTTTACAGAAAAACTTTTGAAAAACGTTTAAGTTAAACATTTACTTAAAGCTGTAGAAGAGGTAGCTCTGTAACCATTCTATAAAGCCTTCACACTAAGAGAGCCCGCTGAACGCTACTAAGCAATCGTTTCAAATATTGAACTAAGAGACAGCTAGAGCATGATGTCTTTACGCGTCCATGTCTCTGTCAATTGAAAGACTAGCTCAATGAATTGAACGTATCAAGCAAGGAACGTAGATGGGCATATTTGCTTTAAATACACAATTCAGCAGGTTTTAGACATAAGGGGTACCAACCGCAGTGGCTTGTATAAAGCAATATATTAAACACGCGTGTGTTGAGCATTTTGTAATGACATCCGAAATATTAGAAACCGCCCTTATAAATCATAATTTCGTAGTCTTGGTGCAGTTATTAAAACATTTGATTTGCTTAGCCAATAGTGAAGAACCCGAATAAGTAAAAAGACAGCAAATTAATACAATTTCTTCTGGATTTCCTTATGATGCAAGCTTTTAAAACGAGAAATATTTCAAAATTACATTGCTATAAATTTAATCTGAAAGCTCGCGCATTTCACTCTGACAGGACATAAAATAAAGGACATTATAACATTTATGTAGATTTAATTTAGTCATCTTCATGTTTCATATAACACCGTTCGATGGACTTTGTTCATTGCCTGAATGTAAAAAGTTGCCAAAGCAACATGTTGAGAAACAAATATTCACCTTAGTTTTTGACGGTGGGGGTAAAAGATGGAATGAGTTTGTGGAATGGCAATTGGCATGGCTTGCGGAATGGCATAATTATGCAGAATGTAATATATGCAGAATGACTCAAAGAAATAAATCAAACTGAAAAGTAAGCCCTTTTCTGGCGCTAAACAATTTGCAAAAGCAGCCGCTTTTTCATTGTTGCGGGCTCGACCACGATGAAAATCAAAAAGTCATGAAGGACTCCTTGATTTCTCACCGTCGATTAGCCTTTTTCGAACAGCCACAAAGATTCTGCTTGCCTGTATCTCTTGGGTTGCATGGCAGCATTGACACTACATCAGGAAAGTCGACCATTAAAGAAAACATGAAAATGTGCCCCGATCCGAAAAAGATTTTATTTTAAATTTTGCCATGTGCTCAGCCAATTTTACTTGCGTGAACCGATCCACGACCCAGTTAAGCTTATATTGTTACTCGAATAGCAATTACGGATTAACTCATGGGTTTTTGAATAAAACTTTTCAAGAAATAATTCATCTGTCTATTATTCATCCATGACATCAGGTTTTTAGTTCAAAACAAGATCGTGAGATTTTTAGGAACAGTTTAGACGGGCTACTCGTCTTTCTTGAATAGAACTATTAAAAGTGTTGTTGTTCTGTACATAGGCATGTTCCATTGAACTGTTATTCATTTCAGGTGTGTTTGCAGGATATTTTTTCTTAATCATTCAACCCCTTCGTCTCAAGGTAAACTGATACCGAAGGCTGAAGATTTCTTTTCGTCGGCTGCGTGTTGAAGTTTCCGGCACGCGAAGCTAAATAGCTTGCGGAGAAGCGCGAGTTCGAATCCTTGCACTTGGGTGCGTGTGGTTTTTCTTTTTCTTTCTCTTTTTCCTTCTCCCTCTCTCTTTCTTTCTTACTGCCTTTTTTTCCTTCCTACTTTTAGCATTTTTTCACGATTAAACGCACATTCACACATACAAAGGAGGTGCCCGCGAAGAGACGCGGAAAGTCCGAAAGGAGACAGGAAACGGTTCGGTTCAATCGATTTCTAGATTACAGATTAATGTTTGACTCGAGGCGTTACATAATACACGAAATATATTCTGTCAGTGCTTAATATTTATTACTTAGGATGGAAGGAATAAGGCGAGGAAAATGCAGTAAAGGTTACCTCCACTAGAAGAGATTTCCTCCACAATCCTCGTGAACTCAGCTCTTTAACATGCTGCTCTGCCTCTTGTTGGTTTAAGCCAGAAGTAATAGCGGACCTCTCGATGCGAGCGCGAAGCGCCGAGTATCATTTTGAAGTTATCCGCTGACAAGTTACTAGTTTTCAAATGATCGCAGTCGCAAGTTTATTTTATAAAAAATATCATTTGAAAGATGTTGAGTTTATGTCACTATAACCCCGCACTATTAAGATTTTGATTTCAAACTAACCGCGGACCCACAAATTCAGCCAGTTATTTAAAAATACAGGCAGGGAAGACCCTTTCTTACCGTGGTAATGCGTTGGTCACGCTCTACGTCCATTTTTTATGCTCTGATTGGTCAAAATTTGACAGGTGAGTTCATGCGGATAATTTATGCAGCATCTTGAAACTTGTTTACTTTGACAGCTGAAGCTGACAAAGTTTTGTGTGAACTTGTGATGTTTTTAAATGTCTTTTCCACTGGATGTATAAAATGAGATAGAGCTGCTATAGAGTCTCTGGAGTCTTTTGTTATTCATGGCTGGTTTGTTTATTGGGTTTTTGGTTGAGAAATGTGTCGCTTTCGGAGGGCATCGTTTTCGTTTTTCAGCTCGAATAAAGAGGGTTCAAAAGTCTCAAGCGATTCTGGCCTTGCTTGATAGCTTTCGAGAGCTGCATTTCGAAAGGTAAGCCTGAGTAATTATTGTATTTGTGTTTGTTTTTTAATGTATCTATAAATTTCATGAAGTCGAGCGCAGTTTATGCGGCAGGTTTATGCACGTTTGTAAGATTTGAGACAATGATCTGACCGAGTATCAGGTTTGATATAAACTTACTGAACTTTAGAAAGCCTTTAGATATATTTTCTCACCGTAAATAGAAAGAAAACGTTCCAAAGAATATTTAGTTATAAATTTGGCCGCAGAAAGAAAGCTTTGAGCGAATTTTTTGCCTCGAGTTCATCTTTGAAAAAAGCCAACATTACCCCCTCCTCTCCAGCACTTTGCCTTGGCTTAATTGACAACATATCCAATCTTCTCCTACACCACTTCCTTCCTACTGCTAGACAACATATACATAGTTGCAAACTACGAAATACCATTCCTATGGTACAAGTGGCTTGTTCTAGGTCGCGAAGCCGTGCGGACGCATCTTTAAGTGCTCCGCCTTAGTTCTTGACTAACTGCTTCAAATACACTATTCAGCCATGCCTAATGTGACAGTAAGCTCTTTAAAAAAGGAAAATGACAACCTTAAGGATGAAATCACCGCCCTGAAGCGAAAATTGGAAGAGCTACAGCAGTCCATCAAACGACAAGATCCACAAGTCACCAGTAATGGCGGCGAACAACCTACTCGTTTGATTACGGACGCTGAGTCCCTAAGTACCTTGGAATTTTATGGAAAATCATACGATGACGATTAAACAGCTCCGGTCACTCCTAAATTTGCTGTCATCCCGAGTCGGAAGGTCGGAGATTCCATTGAACAACTGCAAAGGTATAGTTTCCAGTACAATATTAAGATTATTTGCCATCAAGAAAGCGAGACGCGCGAATCGGCCTCCCAAACTGCCTCCCTGTGTATCAATCTTTTCAAAGTCGCTGGAATTGAAATTTCAAATCGAGACATCGATATCGCCCATCGTATCCCTACCAGAACTGCCACTTCTGGCCCTCGACCAATTGTCTGCAAATTCAAAAGACGAATTGTGAAAGAGCAAGTAATGAATGCACGAAATGAAGCTTGTAAAGTGTCAGCCAATTAGATCGGACTAACGTCCAGTAATTCCTTGGAAAACGTCAGGCTATTTGATCACCTTACTCCCTTGTTTCAGCAACTCTTGGCGGATTCAAAGAAATTTCAGAAGAGAAATTTCAAGTTCTGCTGGGCCAAGAACTTTATTATTTATCTTCGACGAACCGAAGATTCTCGCCCGATCCAAATCAAGTGCCACAACGGCCTTGTGAACTTTGCAAATCAGGAGGGTTTATCCATGAGTTAAGTACCTTTCACAAATTCCTGAGCAACTGACACCTTATTCTTAACTGAACTTAGCCGTCACTATGATGGCTGACGAGTCCTATTTGGAATTTCTCTTTCCATTTAATCATTTAGATAATAGTTCCTTTATCCTAGTACTCTATGAGTTATCCCATGACCCTTTAAATTTCAATAGCAACCGTCTTGAAACACTCTTATTTAATCTTACAGAGCAGCCTGAGCTATCCAGCTCACTTTCCAGTCATCTGAACCCTGATTCTAATTTTATTGCTGGTCTGCCCTCAAGTAGTTACTTGGCCGAGGATGATATAAATAGTCGAGTAACTCCCCTTAGCGACAAAATAAATTTTTTCCATTATACACTTAAATGCTCGTAGCTTGCTAAAAAATCTTGACCAATTGAAATTAATGCTTGGAAGTCTCAAAAAACCCTTCTCCGTGATCGGTATTTCAGTAACGTGGCTGACTGATTGCACTGCAGAGCTGGTTAATATCACTGGATACAATTTTGTCTCAAACCATCGCAAATCCAAAACAGGTGACGGAGTAGGCATTTACTTACAAAACGACCTTCAATACAAACTTCTTAATGAATGCAAATTGTCAGATCCAAAGACAATTGAGTCTTTATTCGTGGAGATTACAGTTCCCCATGGGAAAAACATCTTTGTTGGATCTGTGTATAGACCGCCAAATCAAAACATGGCCTTGTTTCTTGACAAATTTAACGACAGTCTTTCTCGTATTTCTAAGGACAACAAACAATGTTATGTTATGGTGTAATTAAACACTCATTTCACCTAATTGCTGCCCCTCTGGCCAACATCATAAATCTTTCTTTACAAAAAGGCATCTTCCCTGATAAACTAAAAATTGCTAAAGTGATTCCTATTTACAAAGCAGATCATCCTAGTCATTTTACAAACTACAGACCCATTCCTTTGTTGTCCAATTTTTCCAAATTTTTTGAAAAAGTAATGTATAATCGCATGATTGAATTCGCCGAGCAGTATAATATACTATACCGCTGCCAGTTTGGATTTCGTAAAAACTATTCAACGTCCCATGCTCTAATCCGTCTGATAAATAGAATCTCTTCGGCAATTGACCAGCGTGAAACTACCGTAGGTGTTTTCCTAGATCTCTCCAAAGCTTTTGACACTATTGATCATCAAATCTTATTCATCAAGCTGCAGCACTATGGTACCCGTGATGTGGCTCTGCAGTGGACAAAAAGCTACTTTTCTTGCCGTTAGCAATTCGTCCAAATTAATCAAACTTGTTCCTCAATGCAGACTATTAAAAGTGGAGTTCCTCAAGGATCCATCTTAGGCCCCTTATTCTTCATACTTTACATATTTAATGATCTTCCTAAAGCCTCCAAGTTAACTGAGCTTCTACTTTTTATTGACGACACGAGTATCTTTTTTTCACACTCTAATCCCAACTACTTAGAGAATGTGCTTAGTAATGAGTTACTAAATATTGATGTTTGGTTAATTATAAGGTGCAATAAGCTCTCAGTTAATATCAAAAAGACAAATTATGTTACCTTTAGTCCGAGTCAGAGGAAACTCAGTCACAGTTTTTCTCTCTCTTTTGGAGGTCAGCCTCTAATTCAAAGCAATGTAACTAAATTTCTTGGGGTGTTCTTAGACGAACATCTTACTTGGAAGTATCACATAAACTTTGACAAATCGCTAAATCAATCCGTATTTTATCCAGGACGCGTTTCTACTTATCTTGTAAGACCAAACTCACGCTGTACTACACATTAATTTATCCTTATATTGCTTATTGTAACTTCACGTGGTCTTCTACTTACGTATATAATTTAAACAGAATTTACTACCTACAAAAGCGGACTCTGCGAGCTATTACAAATTCAGAATATCGGGCACATACTGCTCCTCTATTCTCCAAATTGGGAATTCTAGATATTTTCCAAGTTAATACGCTCGATACTGTTAAATTTATGTTTCGCTACCACAATAATCTGCTGCCTCCATTCTTCCGCAATCTGTTTATAACAAAGAGTCAAGTCCATAGATATGAGAAAAGAACAGCCAGTAACTATCGAGTGCATTCTCGTCGTACGAACATCACGAAATTCAAAATTCTTTACCAAGGCCCTAGAATCTGGAACTGTCTTCCTGCATCTGCTACAAACTTGTCAAGCGTTTCTATCTCTAAGAACAAAGTGCTAGAGTTTTTATTAAAATAGTTACTAAATTAGTTTAGCCGCACTTCTTCGCAGCCCTCATTTCTTATAACATTGTGATATCGAGGTTGCCTCTCTGTATAAGCCTGGTGGTTTCTTGAGGTCTCCTCGCCTAACAACCTGCTGTATCCTGTAAAATGCTGCTGTAAAAAAGGCTAATAAATGATGATGATGATGATGATGATGATGATGAAGTGTATACACTCGGTCAGCCATACGCACCATGGAAATTGAGAAAAGATTGCCTTTGATAATAATAACTTAGCCTCCTCTAGGAAGAAATGGGCTACTTTCAAACAATGCCCCCCCCGGAATATAATTTGATCTATACTTAAAACAAACGGGCAGATAGGGGATGGAGGACCAAAAGACGGGCAGCCCGTTTCTCTTGATTGTTAATATGTAAAGTATAGCAATTTTGTGGACTTTGTCTTTCTTTTAAAAATTTTTATTTCACCTTTTTCCCTTCTGTAAACGATAACAGTTACCTGTTTCAATGTAAGGTAAAATTTAGTAACCGATAATTAGAATTAATTGTAACGAATTGTACATGTAATGTATTGTAGTTGTTTGTGTGTCCGAAATAATATTTTTTAAAAAACCGGGAAGCCGGCTTAAAACAAACTTTTCACTCAAGATTTTTAGGCACTTCAATACTTGTCTTCGTGAATGAAAATTATTGTCTCTGTAAAGATCTGTAAATTTTTACCGAATTATATTTCTTTCATTGATTGTTAGTAGTCTCTCTTGCAATTTTAATCGCTGTTCCGTTTGTTTCAGTCGTTCATGAACATCTTTTGCAGAAGTCCTCAAAATGCCGTTGAACAGTTGCAGAGATAAATCCACTCTATCGCCAGAGCGAGAACTTAAATCCGCAGCGAACACTGGTCACCCGCTTGGATACCAATTAGCAACGGCTTGCTGGATGGAAAGCCATGCAAACCTTTTTTTCTAGCCCTGATCAAAACGCTTTGAGTGTGGCTGAGCGAAGCGTTCGCAGTCTTATTATTCTGTTGGAAATTAACCGAGATGAGAGGACTAGAAGATTTAAAAGACCTCTGAATTAACCAGGGAAGGCTTCGCCCGATCGCACTCAAAGCTTTGGGATCTGAAGAAACGAGTACATGGCTTGCCATCAAGCGAGCAGTTGCCAAGTTGTGTCCAGCACGTGACCAAGTTCTGCAAAGAGCTAATTCAGCGTCCTTAACCATTAATGCTACGCTGTTTAAGAAACAACATTTTTTTGTAAAAACAAAAGCAAATTATAACTTTATAATGAAAGTCAAAAAATGTTGAAAGTTCCTATTTTATGCAACCTGACTGTGATTAGGTAAACATTGCAAACAGCGATTTAAACGATTAAAACAAAATCCGATTAAATCAGCGATTAAAACAAAATAGAACAGATTTTTTTAAACTTTTTTAGTAGTTTGGTTGATCAGTGTACTATTAAATCCCTGAATTTCGTGTCGATTGAGAAAGTGTAAAGTTGTCTAACATGGGCACAAAAGTGAGTAAAAATTGAAGCGATGTCATATATCTGGCTAAGGTTTTGCTCAGGGACTTCCTACATCAAATTCCCATGCAGCACGCGAGAATTTACCTCGCTTGCTTGCCCTCTGAAATCTTTCGAAACTATGGTAACGCTGTAGAATGGGAGAAATCAATAGCAAATAGATTCGACGAATTTTGTTTTAATCGCGCTTTGTCCGTAAAAGTAGCCTTAGAAAATACAAAAAGAGCTCAGCATTGTCTTTTATCCTGATTCATACTGTACGTTTTACGGTTTCGCAGTCGCGCAGGTGTACTTGCGCTCAGCGGCTTCTAGAGTGTATGAGTCATTTTCAAAACGAATGAGTGATAAAGGCTTTTCGGAAACATCCAAAAAGTAGCAAATTAATTTGTTTGCTTTAAGTCCAGTCTTCAGTGCATGCATAATTTATATACCCTTTTTATGGAAATTCCAAGATATCTCAAAATTCCACTTATACATTTTTGTGAAACTTCGCACAGCAGAAGACATTTATCCAAAGAATACGTAGCGAAAAGTATTTGAAAAGAAAATGCCGAACAGGGGTTAAATTCGATTTAAAGCTAAAACCATTGTAATCCATATGTCATAATCGTTTTACGATACAGATGGATTTGTTTACGTTTAAGAGATTCAAAGATGGAGGGTGTGCCTATAAAAATACTGGGTCGAGCCACTTTAATTTTTTTTCACATATACTATCCAAAATTGACCGGCAAGACGAGAGTGTGACCAGTCTAGTCAGCGATCAGGCCGGACATTGTCCTTTGAACCGCCGTTATTTCAACCCTGCGTAAGGGTCTAGGTCTTGAACGCTGTTTCCCTTGGGTAGGTGTTGCCAAATAATAACTCACTATATAGGCAATGTTTACTTTTGTTAGGTGCAACAAAGACACAATCACCGTCGGCCAGCGTCTCTGCCAGTGTTTCGGGCAGTCTCTCAAACAGTGTCTCACCTAGTGCGTCTGTCAGTGCCTCAGCTAGTCCGTCAACAAGTACATCAAACAGTAAGTCACCGAGTACCTCACCCAGCGTCTCAAACAGCGTCAGTGCGTCTGTCAGTACCTCGGTTGGTCCGTCGACATCAGTCAGCATGTCACTTAGTACCTCAACCAGTGTCTCAAACAGCGCCTCACCTAGTACGTCAGTCAGTACCTCGGTTGTTCCGTCCACAAGTACATCAGTCAGCATGTCACCTAGTACCTCAACCAGTGTCTCAACTAGCGCCTCACCTAGTGCGTCAGTCAGTACTTCGGTTGGTCCGTCCGCAAGAACATCAGTCAGAATGTCACCCAGTACCTCAACCAGTGTCTCAACTAACGCCTCACCTAGTACGTCAGTCAGTACTTCGGTTGGTCCATCCACAAGTACATCAGTCACCATGCCAACTAGTACCTCAACTAGTGTCTCAACTGGCGCCTCACTTAGTACGTCAGTCAGTACCTCGGTTGGTCTATCGACATTCGACAGCATGTCACCTAGTACCTCAACCAGTATCTCAAACAGTGTCTCACCTAGTAAGTCAGTCAGTACCTCCGTTGGTCCGTCTACAAGTACATCAGCCAGCATGTCACCTAGTACCTCAACCAGTGTCTCAACTAGCGCTTCACCTAGTACGTCAGTCAGTACCTCAGTTGGTCCGTCGACATCCGACAGTATGTCACCTAGTACCTCAACCAGTATCTCAAACAGTGTCTCACCTAGTAAGTCAGTCAGTACCTCCGTTGGTCCGTCTACAAGTACATCAGCCAGCATGTCACCTAGTACCTCAAGCAGTGTCTCAACTAGCGCTTCACCTAGTACGTCAGTCAGTACCTCGGTTGGTCCGTCTACAAGTACCTCAGTCAGCATGTCACCTAGTAACTCAACCAGTGATCTACCTAGTACGTCAGTCAGTACCTCGGCTGGCCCATCGACAAGTACAGCAGTCAAAATCTCGCTCAGTTCCTCAACCAGTGTCTCGTCTAGCACTTCACCAGTAACACCAGGTGGGTTGTTTTTCCTGGTTCTCGAAATTGTGTATTAAATTTAAGATGTGTTTATGCTTCCTATTGCTAGAATTTCGTCCGAATGTTCGATTTGTTTTTTGTTTTTTTTTAACTTTTTCTTTCTCGATAGTTACCAAAAAAGGGTGCCGTCTATAATCATTTGCGGCTCCTTTTGTACAGGAAATTTATTTATCTTATATAGATATCATACCTTGCGTGCTTTTGCGTACACTGAAAGCGTGTTGTGCTTTTTCGCACGGGGATTTTGTTTGAAAACTTTAACACGCTCTTTTGTTCGACTTGCTCACGCTTAATTGTCTCAAGCGTGTCCTCTGAAACAAAAGAAATTGCTAATGAGGCAAGATTGCAAGCGTGCTAAAGCGTGTTAAAATAAATTCTTTTGTTTTAAAGTGAAAGTGTGTCGTGCGCTTGGTTTCACCTTTAGCATTAAAATCCTGTGGAGGGTCACATATTTATCCATAAGTATCAGGATGATGTAATTGTTAAGAGCCCCTGCAGAAAACCCATTTTCTTGTCAATAGCTTCAAATTTTCAGGTTGATCGGAGCTGTCGCATAAGAGATTAACAGGCCGTTGTTCGAAAAAACAGTGCTGGCTCTTTTATTTGGACTCTGTACTTCCCATGACTCTGCTACGTGGGTTGATATTTCTGTTAAATTCAGTTGCAAGTTTCCTAACAGCCCTTGAAGTAGATATTGTTGTTTTTGTATCTGTCTGGAACAATTTTTCAAGGAAGCATCGTGTATGTCCTTTGATAAATAAAAATTAGGGCAACATGAGATATTCTAGATAAAATGTCATTTATATGCTGTCCTGGGGACTTCTTTATTAAAAACACGTGTAGGGCGTCTTACAGTTAACGGAGTGAAATTGTGGATTGCCGGAATGAAATATGAATGCAGGTTGCCGAAACCTTTAATATTAGAGTTTGGCGGTACACTTTACTACCTTAAGAGAATTGAACCAAAAAATGAAACAAAATACATTTGTTGCTCTCAACTAAATCACAGTCTTTATTGCCAATACAGATAAAATTTTCTTCTGTTACAAAACAAGCCCACAGACACTCCCTCTGTTGTTTTAGGGGTATTTCCAACTTTTTGAGTACCTAGTCATTTAGCCACCGCCCAAGTGTAATACAGCAGACACTTATAATCAGGTTTGTTGGCTTCTTTGTTCTTTTTTTGGTGCAGTTGTGGTATACCTGCCCAAAAGTGGAGAATGCCAAAAATGCTGCAATGCCGGAGGCCCTATTACTCTTATGCAATCCTGCACTTCCAACTGCGAGGGATTTTCGCCTAAGGAAAAAACAGAGATCGGACATTGCCCTGGAGAAGGAAAAGACACTTGCCAATCAGTTGTATGTGACAAAGGTTAGAGGGTCTTTATGCAACAAGTTTTACTGCTGTTTTTTATTCTGGAGAAGATAAAAGGCTGGGGCAAGCTCTCCAGTTCGATTTGTTGGCGAAAAAGAACGCGCGAGCAAGATGCGAGGTTTCTTTTCGTCTGGCTTCCTCCCTCCTCGTTATCATGTCTCATTTCGCGAGCTGCTCAGTTGTTGACTCACTAGATAAGGGAGGGGGGTGGAGGGCGGTCTTTTGCCCCTTCGGGGCTTCAGTTGGTCTAAAAATAAGGGGTGGGGGCGGGCGGGCCTCTCTCCTGGATCTACCACGGAATTTTTCCCAAATAGAGAACCTTCTCGCAGGTTAATCTAATAACAATATTCAGTGCTTAAAAATATGTTTCTTGCTCAGTTTGTTCACACTTTCAATTTTCCTGTTTAATCGACAGCCTTTTCAATCCATTCTCCAAGTTTCGCCGTTCTCGCTGTGATGACACTGGTATCGTTGTTTAGGTAAGTGGGATATTCAATAAGCAAGTTACAATTTAATGTTTTCTACTTCGAACAATTTTGCTCTTGATTATATTGAAAATTGGTAGAAATGTACTTTGGTGTTCTAGTTTACAAGTACACACGAATTTTTGAAAACCGGGTTAGCAAGAAAATCAACTCCTTCTACTACTTGACAAATTAAAAACAATGAGAAATCATTCAAAGGCCGATTAAAAACCTTTATCTGATGCTAGGCAGTAAGTTAGAGGTCCCTAATAGCATTTCACTGAGTCCGCATTTTAAAACATTTATTCAATGATCTCACTCCATGTAGTTTCAGTCTAGAAACTTTTTATTTGAATGAAATGCAGTCAAAAAGTGCCGGGTTAAGGCTTACATAACAGCTTAGTAAATATCTAGCAAAACACTAAGGCACATTCACCTGAGTTATACCGACGAAGCGTTTTTCTTTATGGCTGGTACAGAAACTTTTAGTGCAACGTCTCTTCCACGAAACCACAACCTGTGTTCTTTCTGTCAACACCATCCGGAAATCACACACTTTCGCGGCGCTGACAAGACAATCCACAATCACTTTTAACGTTTTCACGTTTGACACAAGCCAAATATCATGAAATGAAACGACGAGGAAAAACTCACTACAGGCTTTTGGCAGATATTAAACGCCTTTGGACATTTCTCTTACACTCGTCTTATTCAAGTTCCCTCCTCTCAGACTCCTCACACAGTCAGCAGACCAGCATAGACTCTGTTTTCACACCGGCGAAAAAAGTCTTGGTCAAATAGATTTGACTGTTCTAAGGCAAATTTTTGTTCTCACGCGGGAAAAGCCAGCAGTTTCATACCTTTCTGTTTCAGCGCGGATCAGGGTGATTGACTCGCCAAATGAAACGAGAATACGGGAAGATGTTGAACGGTGCAGACCTCTCTGCGAATCGTATTTATCACATATATGTCCCATCTCAGAGCTTTGCATTATACCCTCCGGGAAACTTTTCTCGGCTCTACTTATTTGTTGAGGATAACAATTTGTTATATGCTGCCAAAAATCTCAAATCACTTGAATCAACAGTTAATGCAGAAATTTCTAGGGTTTATAATTGGCTAATCGCAAATAAATTATCACTAAATATAAAGAAATCGAACCCAGTTTGTCATTTTTAGACCAAGACAAAAAGAAGTTAAATCACCAAGTCAACTTGAAAGTATTTGACCATCATAACACTAATTGAACTCGTGCATTTCGTTAGAATGCAGAAATTATTCAAGGTGTGCTTATTGATGAAAATCATTCTTGGAAATACCATATCGCCCACATCGCTTCAAAAATAAGTAAAACAACTTATATTATTGCCAGCCTTAGACACTTTGTATCCCTGAACAAATTTCACAACATATACATATCTCTTATCCAGCCCTACTTATTGTATGGCATAGTTGCTTGGGGCCAGACTGCTAAAACTTACGAAAGCAAAATTCTTATTCTTCAAAAACGCGCCCTCCGCCTTACGTTATTTGGTGACTATAATTCTCATGCAGTACCTTATTTTGGCTGTTCTAGCTTCTTCCTTTAGATCTACTCTATTTTAAATCCGTTGCTATTCTAATGCATGATATATCTAACAGCTTTTAAACACCTACTAACATATCCAACTTATTTGCTTCCCAATCTAATATTGATTCATAATATATCGATTTAGCCAGGGCTAAAAGCGAAGTTCTCGATAATATTTATATTTTGCTCAAACAAAATATAAAATCATGTTATGCTAAGCGGCGAAGGCAACCAGAACGGTGAAAAAACAACAACAGGTCTAATTAGCATAAAAACAACTTTGCACGTGCAGCACACTTTTTTTGTACATTTCTTTGCCCTTGTTTTGCACGACCACAACGTGAAACTTCCAGAAACTTCCTAGTTACATGTTTTATGGAGAAAATGTCGTACCTGTTGTTGTTCAATTTTTTTTTCACTCGCTCATTTTCACCTTGGTGGCCGCTAGGATTTCTCATTTTCTCACGGCCGCTTAAAAATTTTCATGTTGTTCTTCCAACAAATAGCCCTTATCTTCCGCTCTAGCTCTCTGTCGCTCTTTTTCTCGTTGAAATTCACTGGCCTTTCGCCCGCTTTATTTTTTCTCTATATTCCAAATTTGTGGACATGACAATATTTATTAATCTTACTTTAGACAACAAGGATACACAAACAATTTCCGCTTTCCGTTTTCGCCTTTATTGACTCTTCAGTTGTCTCTGCTTCACAAGACGCAGGTGGCTATGCGATTTCCCGCCAAAATAAACTCGAGTTGCATTTGGGTTGCCATACCTGTTGGTCGAGTTATTTTACATTGGTATTCCTGTGATGCGGACGGACGGTCGGGCGTACGGTCAAGTGATTACCAAAATTTCTCGGATGGGTAGATTACCAAATTTTCTTACCGATGGTGCTCCGCTTCGCGCGCGTGGAGCTCCGCTATAATATAAGATCACCTTCAAGAAGTGATTATTATGTTAAACACTCAAGAATAGACAAACAAACTAAGTCTTTTTCAAGTTGTGGTGTAAAAATCTGGAATAGTCTATTGCGTCAAATGCGTCAAATGTCCAAAAATAACTTTCAAAACAATGTCCACGAAAATTTACTCCGAACAGTTTCAAAAAAAGATCATATTGATTTACCCGACTTAATAACAAAAACTTCCTGGAAACTCGGCTTCTTATATCTGAAATGTACATGACTGTAAACTTAATTGCATTGAATTTATTTTTATTTATTTATTTAACATTTTTTATTTTTTTTCTCTATCAACATACGTGTAGCCACTGCTCGCCTCGACTAGCCGATCTGCTCGGGCAGCGGATATTGCTTGCTGTAAATTTTGCAATAATTAATAAACAGTTAAACAGTTGAAAAAGTTGACCAACAACGAAATATAAACTACTGCTAAACGCTGCGGCACAGAAACCAGCTTTACGCACGCACTGATTTCAAATAACATTACTGTCACTTGAGTTAGAGAGAAACATCTGGGTAGAGACGGAAAAAGACTAAAGAGGGAGAGAGGAGGGGGGGAGGTAGATAGAAAGCGAATTCGCGAAATTATATGTACAGCCACTTCTACACAAATCCTTAACTAC